CTTAAACTTTTTCCACTGGTGACCTCTGCAGCACTTCTTAAACTGTGGGTCACAACCCACATGGGCTGAACTAAACCATGATGGATTCCAACTTCTCCTTGAAACCAGTCCAGAAGCCCCTTTGCCTATGGCCCCAGAGTATTCCCCTCTCTGATCTCAGAACCCCCAGTCAAGGAATCAAGGATCCTGACCTTCTTGGCCTCTGGGCCACTTTAACCCCCTCAGTACAAAGACCTACCACATCTAATCTCTACTTATCTTTTCCTATTCTGCCACTGCCACCACAAATGGATGTTAATTCTGCCATTCATTCCTTTCTCACACATGCTGGACCACAAAAAGACTTTTTCTTGGGTTTATTCATAAGGAATACAGAATACATATAAATTCAGAAATAACACACCAGGGAATAAGAACTAGAAGTATGCATAAAATAAAATTACTTAGGCTTATTTATTTAGGAAGTATCTAAACTTTCAAACCTCATCTTTAATTCAAGTTTCCCAAACCCAGCTCAGCTTTCATGATCCTTAGCCTAAAGCATACTCTATAGTACCCACAGCTGAAAGGAGATAAAAAGAACTATCACATACAATTAAAGCTGTCCTTAGAACCCAGAAAATAGGGTAATTCAAACTGACATCCAGTCCCTTCTCTCCTTACCTCCCAAAACTACACACAAACACACACACACACACACATTCCCCAAAATATCAACTCCATTCCTTGAAATGTCCATTTTAGGAAACAGTCTATACTAACTTTAACTGAAGTTTTAAGTAAAACCAGCCATACAAGTTACAACATAAAATTAATTCCCCTATTTAACAATCCTGTAATTTCAAAAACAGATGCCATATCATGAGACTTATTACACTTCATCCAAAGAATTCACCAACAAATGACCAGTCTGCTGTTACTGGTGACAAGCTTCTTTGCACTTAGCTAAAAGGATCCTTGGAAAATGTGCAAAGACTATTGCTGGGACTGTATATGAAGTCTTCCCAGCATGGTAAAATTTGTCAGACTATCTCCATTGCTGTGGCCTTTGAGAATCAATGGTAACTTCCACAGCCACTGTGACACATCAGAATATAATTTATGGAAAGGTAGATATGAGTGCATATGTGTGTGTGCATATACACATATGTATGTGTGTGTGTGTGTGTGCATGGGTGTGGGGGCAGACACATGGTAAGTTGACATGGATGGGCTACAATCTGCATTACTGGCAAAAACTCCCAGGTCAATGAAATCACAGATCCCTATGAGTAGGAATACAGTTTTCAAAGTACTTTCATATGTAAATTATCTTATTTGAACCACACAACAACCTAGATTTATTAGACTTTGCATGCAGAACTGGAAATTGTATCCCCATTCTATAGATGAGAAAACTAAGATATGAATGACACCCAGGATATGAGCAATTTTAAATCATACAACACTATGTTCAATTAAAATTAATAATCAGGAAATTAGCTAGAAGCAACTGAATAAAAATTCTTTTTTCACCTTTGGTGACAGAAAGAAAAAGGGAGAGAAAATGGCACAGTGTTACAGAAAGTACAACACATTTGGTATCTGAAGACAACAGTTCAAATCCTGGCTCTGCCATTGTGCCAAGTTGTGGGACCATGAGCGAGTTACCTGATCCATTCAAGCTGAAATTTTAATTAAAAAATCAACAGAGGAAAAGTACATGGAAACAAAGGAGATAATTCTTTTCCAATAATAGGAAAGGAAAGTTACTTGAGGAACAATTTTTTTTATATAGTAATCTATCTCAAATCAACAGGAAATGAAACATGCAGCATATTTTTCAGGTAAATGAAATTTATGCCTTTTAAGTATTAACATTTGTAAAGACCTTTTTGGATGTAAATTCTTCTAAAATGTGGCATACTTTCCTCTCTTCTGCAGCACAGCATAATGAATTGCCTTTTCCTTGTTGATTCAAGGGCATCATGAAGAAACATCAATTATCAAAATGGACTGCAACACTATGATAACTTTCAAGGGTTACTGAGGTATGGAAGACTGTTTGTCCCTGCATTGAATACGCCAAACTGCTGTGATTTTTCTTTAATTTTGTAAGGCTAATTTTATAATTCTTCCTCCTTTCTCAGTAAGGCACCCAGGTCTTAGGAGGGTCATAATCTTCCTTTCTTTCAAAACCTTCCAAGAATACACCTCCACCAGGAGTATTCTAGCACTGGCATTTATATATCCTCCCATCTTTATTATCCACTTGACGACGGACTACCAAACCATGGGAATTAGGATCTCAGCTAGGGATAAGAGACAGTTCATTTCAGGACTTCTATCTTATACCCCCCTCCCAAACTTTTCCCAATAATCAGAACTTACTCCCAAGCATTCTAATCAAAAGTCAGTGGGTGTGTTATGGCTCAAATCTAGAGTGGCCTAGGGCTAAAATCAGCTGGCTATTCAGAAACATCAACCAAGATGAGATGCTAAGGACCAAAACAATCTTATTCTTCAATAGAGAAAAAAAATGAAGATTCAGAATAAACATGTTACATGTTAGGCATAAAAGATCTGTCAAAAGGGGTCTAACTTTTAGCTCTATTTACTCTATCACTACAGATGATATAAAATGAGAAAGTGGAAACAAGGGTGGCTTAGGAGGTAAAGCACTTCACTCTAAATCTCATCTCCGCCACTTATTACATTAGGCAAGTCATTTAACTTCCCTAGGCCTCAATTTATTTATCTGTCAAATGAAGAATTTGGACTGGATGACTTCTTCAAGTGCCACACAGCTCTAGATCTATGATCTCTTTACTTGTTCTCAACTATCACTTCTTCCTGCTTGTCAGAGCATCTGCTTCTAGTAGTTCTTAACCCTTTAATTTGCCATACCTAATCTGCTATAACGTGAAAAAAAATTACTAGCACTAATAGAATTGTGTTCAAATTAAAAGCAAAGGATTTAAGTGAGAACCTCGGTTATAAATGAAATACATGAACTGTAACATTTATTTTGACTGTTCAGGGTTGGTTTTTTGTTTGGGTTTTTTTTTTTGCTTGTGCTTCACAAATCAAAATAAGGAGAGTATAAATCATGAAAACAGACTGAATTTTAGCAAAAGTAAAGAAAAATACATACTTTAATGGATCCATGATCTTGCTAATTTAGGTATTCACTTTACTAAGTCTATACCACACACATTTTGTACGTTTTTTGTCTGGCTTTTCATAAATTCTCCATAAAGAATCTATCAAATACAATAAAAACCTTTCTCTGGCCCTTTTAATATTTCAAACAAATTTCAGGGTCTCCATCTGTTTTTCCTTCATTTTTTGTTACACGAGCAGTCTACCTTTTCTTTTTAATTATTTATGTCCTCTGTGTTATGATAGGCTATGGACAGGTCTGAGGAAATGGTCAAAATTTGAGGGGGTAATTTCTAGGCTTTGGTGAGGACAAAATTTCAGATTGGAAGTCCTCAGCCTACAGAATAGATAGGATTACAAGGGACAGAGAATAAAGTGATGCTGATAAACAGAACCCTTTTACCATCCACTTAGGTCATCAACAGCATAAAGGTTTCTTTGTTTCATATGTAACTTAAGGCTTTGGCTGAGTGACATAGCATCTAGCAGTGTCCCTGACATATGAAACCACCAGCACAGGGGGCTGTGTGCCTCCTCATGCTTGACAGCCCTCCCACAGCATGCCAGTCCTGTGTGACCCCAATGGCCACCACTGTAAATGTTACTTATGTGGGGGAAAAGTAGACTGAAGGAAGAAGTGGCATTAAACTGAACTAGAACTATCAACATATATTATTTTCTGTATTCAGCACCTGAAGCCTTATAAGCTAAGTAAACCTATTCTTTTATAATCCACTTAATCCTGTCAGGACAATCATTTGTGCAATCTGGATACCTGTGTTTCCTAAGCTTCCTAGGACAGGTGGTGTTTTATATACCACCTTGCATTAGAGCCATCATTGGAAACATGCTCCAGGCCTACATACACCCACAGATACACAGAATTACTGTGGGGTTTAGGGAAGGAAGACTTCAGACATATAGCCTATGAGCTCTTAACTTTTTTGTCATATACCCCCTTTGGCAGTCTAGTGAAGCCTATGGAGCCCTTCACAGAATCATGTGGGTGCTTATATTTATAATTGAAAAAATGCTAAGTTTCAGTTAGAGGTGGTGAAAATGAATATTTTTTTTTCTCATCCAAGTTCACAGACCCCCTGGATTCTATACACAGAGACCTTAGGATCCATGAACCTCAGGATAAGAATTCCTGATTCAGCTCCATCCCTTTATTTCATGCAAATAAAGAACCTAAAGCCCAGAAAGGCTAAGGTCACTTGTTCAAAGTCATAAGGTGGCCCGGAGAGCAGGGACATGACCCCAGGTCACCTGATAAGAAATGAAAATGAAAGTTAACCATAGTTAAGAGATAAATTTCATCAAAGAGAGATCTTTACACTAGCTATCTATTTAGAAGATAAAATCAGGATTGGGACATGGAGACATCGAGAATTTGGAGAGAAACATGGAAAACTGTATTTGACATACTTGAGGCTAAAGGAAATGGGAAAACATTAAAAGGAGAGACAAAAAGGACAGTGGTACTAAAGGGCTTTTCTCTTTCCCTGTAGAAAGACTTGAATATGCTCCAAAACAGAATAAAAGGAGCCCAGCCAAGCAAGGTTGTTCTTTCTTTCTTAAAAGTATGCCCAAGATTTCTTATATAAAAAATGTAAAAGGCATCGCTCACACAGCTGACGCAATGAGAATGCTGTATCTCAAAACAATTCTTGGTTTAAATATCATTATCTCTGTAAAGAACTCTGTAAAGAATCTTAAACTGTGGATTAGATGAATATTCCTTCCCAGTCCTACCTACACCACCACAGCAACCATTACCACGAACAAAGGTAGAAATAAAACCTATTTCTTACTTAAAGAATCAACATAAAATTCATTTTTAAAAAAATATGACGTACTTACATTGGGAAGTTTTCAAAGGCATCTTCAAAGGTTTCCTGGAAGAAGAAAACAAATACAGTGGGTATGCCATAATCAGAGGACACTGATATTTAACAGTGAGGAAAAAAAATCAATTACTGAGTAAAACTCAGTAATTAAATTATTTTAATTGATCATATCACATCATACTATTAATTATTCAATATTATCACTACTTAATGACTTTTTCATGTGACCTTACTGGTCAAATACCAGAAAAAACTAACATCACACATGTGTATTTAATATAAAATCATTCTGCCTAGCCATAATTGTGAATGAGCAGGTTTCTCTTCTAGTTTCTGTATGGTGTGACATGTACTTTACAAATTCAGAAAGCATATTTCAAAGCATTCAGAAAGATAGGTACAAGAAGTCAACCCGGGAGAGGCAGAAAACTCACAAGACAAATTCTGAATACACAAAGGGAAACACCAACAAATAGCAAAACACCAAGTTTTTTTTAATATGGATTTTCTTTAGATCTTTAAAACATGTTCACAATAATGGAAAGTAATGTAGTATAGAAGATAGAAAGATAGACAGACAGACACATAAATAGATGACAGCCTTGAGGCCAGGTCTCTGGATTCAAGTCCCATTTTTGACACACACTGGTTGTTCATGACCCTGAGCTAGTCTTTATTTAGGGGGCGAGTCAGTACTCTAGCAACTCTCTAAAACTGTAAGTTGCTGAGAAGCTATGAACTTGCATTGGTTGAGGGAGTTCAAGGCCACCTTCCTAAGTGCCCTCCAATGGATGCGCTTATCAATGTCTTGACTACAATGGCACGCCCAGATTGGAACGTCATGTTTCAAATGTTGTCTAAACAGAGAATGGTACAAAAGGACTAGTACCTCTTTATTTTAATGCTTAATGTGGCCCAAGACCACATTGGCTTTGTTGGTTGCCATCATCATACATACTGTTAACTCATATTGAGCTTGCAACTCACTAAAATTTCTGAACCTTTTTTCAAACAAAACTGCTATCTAGCCATACCACCCCCCCCACCTTGCACTTGGGTTTGAAAAATCATCTTCAAAAGTGTAAGATTTTATATGTATCTTTCATACATGTACATGTTTACAGATGCCCCCAAAGTCTTAATATGATTTTAAGGTTTTAATCTTCACTAAGACTTTTAGTATATGCCATTTTTCATCTTATTCAACTCAAATCAATGTTCTAGCCTGATAAGATCTTTTTGAATCATAACCATATCTTCTAGAGTATTAGTTTTCAGTCATAAGACATAAAAAATATAAGCTGAAATGACAAATGATTCTCCATCTCTCCAGTACATTATTATACTTAGCATCACCTGTATTTAATGTGATGTCTAACACACAATGAGTGCTTAATAAATAATACTTGCTGGTTGATCAAATTCATATGGTATTTAGGAAAATGATTCTTAGTCTGATTTTATTATCCCTCAAAGCATACAAGTGATTTCTCAAGAAGTATCACAAAATTCATGCTCATTTGCATTAATTTTTTTAAATATTGCATGGTACTTTTAGAAGGAAAAAAGTGCAATGTAAAAATCAAAGATGAGCTATGAATCTTTGAACAAAGAAATAACATTTCTGATAAGCGTGCAACCTATGTCTTTAGCCAACTCACTGATAAAAACGTTAAACAGCACAGGACCAAGCACAAATAACTAGGGCATTCCATCAGAGACTTCCTTCCAAGATGACATTTGAGTTATTAATGACTTCTCTTTAGGTTTGGTCATCCAACCATTTTTTTGGTTTTGTTTTTTTCTCCCCCCTCTTTCCCTCCACTGTAAAAGCTTTTTCTTGCCTCTTTTATATGAGATAATTTGCCCCATTCTACCTCTCCCCTTCTCCTTTTCCCAGTACATTCCTCTCCCTCACATCCCTTAATTTTATTTTTTACGTATCATCCCTTCATATTCAACTCACCCTGTGCCCTCTGTCAATATATATTCCCTCCTACCACCCTAATAATGAGAAAGGTCTCATAAATTATAAATATCATCTTTCCATGTAGGAATGTAAACAGCTCAACTTTAATAAGTCCCTTATGAGTTTTCTTTTCTGGTTACCTTTTCATGATTCTCTTGAGTCTTGTATTTGAAAGACAGTTTTTCTAGTTAGCTCTCATTTTTTCTCAAGAATGCATTAAATTCCTCTATATCATCAAATATCAATTTTTCCCCCTCATTGATTATACTCAGTTTTTCTGGACAGGTGATTCTTGATTATAATCCTAGCTCCTCTGACCTCTAGAATATCATACTCCAAGCCTTCCAATCTCTTAACATAGAAGATAATAAATCTTGTGTTATCCTGATTGTGTTTTCACAATACTTGAATTGTTTCTTTCTGGCTGCTTGCAATATTTTCTCCTCGACCTGGGAACTCTGGAATTTGACTATAATATTCCTGGGAGTTTTCTTTTTGGGATCTCTTTCAAGGAGATGATCAGTGGATTCCTTTTTTTTTGTGGATTCTTTCATTTTCTATTTTACCCTCTGGTTCTACAATATCAGGGCAGATTTCTTTGATAATTTCTTGAAAGATAATGTCTAGGCTCTTGTTTTGATAATGGCTTTCAGGTAGTCCAATAATTTGTAAATTATCTCTCCTGGATCTATTTTCCAGGTCAGTTGTTTTTCCAATAAGATATTTCACATTGTCTACTACTTTTTCATTCTTTTGGTTTTGTTTTGTAATTTCTTGATTTTTCATACAGTCATTAGCTTCCATTTGCTCCATTCTAATTTTTAAGGAATTATTTTCTTCAGTGAGCTTTTGGACCTCCTTTCCCATTTGGCCAATTCTGCTTTTTAAGGCCTTCTTCTCCTCATTAGCTTTTTGGACCTCTTTTGCCACTTGGCCTACTCTGGTTTTTTGTTTTGTTTTGTTTTTTGGGGAGGGTTTTGGTGAGGCAATCAGGGTTAAGTGACAGCTAGTAAGTGTGAAGTGTCTAAGACCACATTTGAACTCAGGTCCTCCTGACTCCAAGGCCAGAGCTCTATCCAATGCACCAGCTAGCTGCCCCCTTACTCTGTTTTTTAAGGTGTTATTTTCTTCAGTATTCTTTGTGTCCCCTTTAGCAAGCTGTTCACTCATTTTTCATGATCTTCTTGTATCATTCTCATTTCTCTATGTCTAGCTCTTCCATGGCCTGAGACCAATTCATATTTTTCCTGGATGTAGAAGCTTTGACTTTGTTGTGTTCTTCTGAGTGTATGATTTGATCTTCCTTGTTACCAAAGTAAGTCTCTATAGTCCGAGATTTTTTATTATTGTTTGTCATTTTCCCAGACAATTTTTTTTACTTTTTAACTCTTTGTTAAGAAACAGTGTGCTGTCTCAAGCTTAAGGGTTTCATGCAGCTGTTTTAAAAGATACTTCTAGGGACATGTAAGTTTTCAGTTATTCCAAGATGGTATGATCTCAGGAGAGGTGTTTACTCTTCTCCTGGCCTGTGCTCTGCTCTGTGAGTTACCACAAGCATTCTCTCCTGCCCCAGAACTGTGAGGAGGGTTCCCTCTCCAGTGCTGCCACAAGTTTGGCTATGCCAGTGCTCCTCCTTGCCCCAGGATTGCCACCCAGATTCAAGTATGGGCAAAGCAACAGAATCCTACCTCAGTGCCAGCAAAGAGACCCCTGTAATCTCCTTCTGACCAGCTGTTCAATCCCCATACAGTCTGTGGGCTGAGAGCTCCAGAAGGAGCCACTGTCACTGGGGCCAGGACTGGACTGCGCCCCTCTCTCAACCAGGTCTGACAGACTTTTTCTACTAAGCTATCTTTGGCGTTTATGGGTTGAGAAGTCTGGAAACCACCACAGCTGCCAGTGATTCCATCCCCTGAGTCCCACTCCAGATGTGCTGGGGCCTGGTCTGTCTTGGCACAGACTGTGCTCCTCTCCCAGCCCAGTGCAACAGACCTTTCCTATAGACCTCCCAGGTTATCTTGGGCTGGAAATGTGTTTCACTCTTTTTGTGGGTTCTGCTGCTCTACAATTTGTTTAAAGTCATTTTTACAGGTGTTTGGGGGAGAGTTCAAGCGAGTCCCTGTCTTTACTCTGCCATCTCAGTTCCGCCCCACCCCCTCCGACCATTTTTTAATCCACCTAATTGTAGTACTGCCTAGCACACATCTCTCCATATTTTCCACAAAAGGAACATGAGAGACTTTATCAAATTCTTTCCTAAAATAAAGATAAAATGTATCTGCAGCATTCTCCTGGCCTAACAGGACAGTAACTCAGTGTATAACTGCAGTACTTGGAAAAGACTTAGAGGTTCTACCCAACTATAAGCTCAATATGGATGAACAGTATAGTACAACTGACTCTACGGGACAAGCCCACCAATCCCTTTGTCAGCCACACATTCTAGGCTCTCTTGCCTCTCTCCTTGCGGTTACTGTTTTATGCCATTTTGTCTTTACAGAAATTTATGATCAAGGTCAATCTTTGCTTTTTTCCACTTTCCAATTATCAGTACCAGTAAGTTATACCTTCCTGCTACACCAAACAGATCTGCAGCCTCAGGAGAAAAGAGGAGTCCTTCCTCTGACTGGCCTCCCAGATGTTACTGGAGCAACTTCCATTTGTACCAAAAGGCAAATTCCATCTCCTGCTGCCAGCCTAATCTCCCAACTAGGATGTAGAGAACCTCCAGTGCAAAGAGAAGCAACTTTCCCTTTGACCTCAGGCCTTCCACCTCCTGCTGCATCTGTCCCTTGAGGGAAGAAGAAAATCAGTCGGGAGTAGGACTTCCATCTCCTGCTGCAGTTTCCTACCTAATCTCCAGCCTGTGGAGTGAAAAGGAGTAGTAAAATGGGGTCTACCATCTGACCATCTATCTTCCATCTTGTGCTCTATCTTATCTCCAGCCTCCTTTAGGAAGAGGAATGGTACCTTCTACTCAATGACAAACACTCTCATACCTGGTTATACTCTATACATCCCAGTGATTTCAACCCCTGTAGGTCATCACCCAAACCCCATTCCCTATCCTCAACTACCC